CCACACATGTAGAGTTGAGGCGGAGATTGAAACCCTGGTCTCCAGAGGAGTGATGTAACCATGCTAGCAACCCCACCCTCGGAAGCTTTCTTTTTCTTTTTCTTTTCTTTCGTTTATTTATACTGTTGAAATAAGGTACTGATGTTCCACATAGAGATATATTGAAAAATGTCTCTATCACCATGCTGAGGAATTATGTCATATTTTACATTGCATTATCAAAGTCAACTTTATGAACTTTCATGAACTTCATAATATCCCAGCAGCCTTTGCTGTCCTTACAGCGATTAGCTAAGCCATTAACTTCTCCACAATACCCTGGGATGATGCCCACGGCAGCTTAGTTAAATAACTCAGCCTACAAGTCAACCTTTGGTCAGTCAAAGTCCTGCGGGGAGACGGATAACAGGTGAGACGGGCAGGTGTGGATCCTCTTCGGACTGTGACTGTGAGGCAGCAGGTGTGGATCCTCTTCGGACTGTGACTGTGAGGCAGCAGGTGAGTCCGTGCTCTTCTACTGTAGCTTTAGCAGCGAAATACCTAAAACCACTAACAACATGTGACAATATCGTTCTGCTTTTGTGGCATATTTGTTGGGTTATTTTTCACAGCAGTGACAACAGCAAAAATAACTGGTCATGCAGATCTGAGGGGAGGTACAGGGTGTATGCAAATGATTATTCATTTCAGTTCCTTCAGTAGCCAGCAATCAATAGCAAGCAACTTTGTTCCATGAGCATTGTCCATACTGTGCAATGCAGATTATTGTTTATATACATGTTACAATTTCAAATGCTCACGATTTTAAAATAGCTGAACGAACTGTAAAAAGGTACCATTTTACTGAATTTTGGGTGAATGTCTTACTAGACACAAGTAGATTCACATGCAAATCTTATTAGTGTTTTTTTAAAGACGAAAGCTGTGACAGGCTTGTCATAAGTCAGTTCTCCATTGCAGTTAACAATTAACATTGACGCTAACGTCCAGAGTGCAGATCTTGAAGTCAGACATCAGCAGTTTATTTCAGGGGATCTCCACAGCTGTCACTCTGACGCGGCCATTTCAGGTGTTAGCTTACAGTAAAGATAACGGCGAAGGTGTTTCTCCATCCACACAATGTTTCTAAAATCTGCTGAGGTCAAAGCCAAGGAGACACGTGCAAACGATTCAGGCTTTAAAGTCTTTATAGTTTTCATATTTCTTGTCATGTTTCAATCTCTCTGTGCTTGTTCAATAGACCCCTTTCATCAGGTAATGCAAAAACGGATGTTTTAGAAACATTTGCTCATAATATCAGTATCAGACAGGTACCTATAAAATAATAAAGATAACACATAACTCACATACCTATCCTGGTGGAGTCATTGGTACTTACCAAAGGTCGGGGACATTTCCACGGATTGATGTGAGATAGATTATGATGTGACCAGCGGTAGCATTAAATGCTGCTGAGCTCAGCATGGCCTAGGTGTGCTTTGATAGACGTTGTGCCGTCAGGGTCAGCCGGTGAAGTCATGTTGACCTGCATGGTGTTGGGGTGGCCTTCCAGATGGGCGATGGTTCAGGAGAAACAGGTGGCTTCAGAAACCTTCCCATTTGACAGCAAAGCAGAATGACTGCATATCGCTGACGTTTATGCAGCCACTGAGAGGGTAACTGAAATTTTTGTTTTAAGCAGGCAGGGCTGAGTCAGCTATAACATCTTACACTAGGGGGCCTTCATAATGCTTTGCAAAGAGTCAAAGGTGATGGATAGTGGACAAGGATCCGGGTTGTTAGTTCACAGTGTGTTGTAGTTCCCTTTTGTGAAAAGTTGGTTAAGAATTTAACCTGTTTTCTTTCACCCTCCCAGTGATATAGACATCGGCATCTATGTTAAGAACCGGAGAAAGACGACATTCAAAAAATCTAATTAACATCTCAGTCAACGAAAACTTAGACTCTACACTTCAAAAACCCTTTAAACAACATAGTTAGAAAGTTTCACATTTTTAGGTGCCTCAGATATTTTGTAATAAGCAAAAATAAACCTACCGCGGCGGCCATATTTAGGATGCTTTGGTTGAAGGCAGTGGGTGACTCTCTAAGCGTTAATGCTGCGTGATGCTCTAGCGGCAGAGAGATGGAAGCTTTGAAAGTGAGGGTCATCAGCCTGAACAAGCGGGAGGGCCAGAGTTTCGGCTTCTTCCTGCGGGTGGAGCAGGGCGAGGAAGGTCACCTGATCCGTAACCTGGAGACGGGCAGCCCGGCCGAGCTCTCGGGCCTGAAGGATGGGGACCGCATTCTGAGGGTCAACGGGACCTTTGTGGACATGCTGGAACACCACCAGGTAGCTGTTTGATTACCCAATAACGATAATAGCTGTTACATAACTAATAACTAACAATAATGTAGCACTAACTCTGGTCACATTAGTCAAATAAAACCAAAGAAGTCGGCTGAGTACGTGCCCAACCTAAACCGGCTGGGGAATCTTGTGGCCCAGGTGGTCGATCTGGTGAAGAACAGCGGGATGTCCGTCACCTTTCATGTTCTGGATGAAGCCTCCTACAAGCATTCCAAGGAGACTGGTGTTGACCTGTCCGATCCTCATCCCAGCTCTCAGTCCAGTACGGCCCAGGCACAGCCCGTTATGAATGGCGTGACCGGTTCAGCACCAAAACCCAAACTCTGTTTCCTGGTTAAAGCCAAGAATGGATATGGATTTTCTATCAAGTCCGCAAAAGGTGAGATGGCAGTCACTCTCTGAGTGGTAACATTCATCAAACCAGTATGGCCTGTTTAATCTCAGATAGCTATTTACCTAAGATAAGCACATTAATTATACTCTAGTGGAGAAGCGAATCTATTCTGTATTCATATTAACATCCAAATGAGCTTAAATTAACTGCACATTTCAAGAACATTAAAACTGAAGGATGAAATTAATCAAACTATCCATGTATTGTCCAGTAAGTTGCACTGTCAGGTTGGTGTGATCTGTGCTTCCTTGGATGGACTCTGGATAAATGGCTCTGGAAAACAGATAGTTGGATTAAACAAGATACCTCTGAGTATGTTTTTGACGGAGTACCAACAGCTTCTCTATTGGCTATTGAGCACATGCTGAGACGGTTTAATTCTCTCCTAATACTGCTGCTGTAATTTATACTATCTATCTGCTTCCAGGCATGGAGGGTGTGTACATGACGGATGTGACCACCTCTGGGGTTGCAGACAGGGCTGGGGTCAAGGTCGACGACCGCCTTCAAGAGGTCAACGGGGAAAATGTGGATGATTGCACCCATGAGGAGATCGTGGAGAAGGTTAAATCAATTTTAATCTATAAGTCAATAATAATCATTCATAAATATAAATGACACACAAATAGA